ATTACATCTATTGAAAACAAAAAATCTATTTTATTGAACAATGTATGCAAACATGTTATTAAGTTTTGATTTTATTATTAGATAAATAGCATTAGAAAAATTTGTTTGTTTGTTAACTTTTAATATAGTTTACAATTTACAGTTATATAACATATATAATATTTATTATATATATTTTCATTGTTTAGAAAAAAAATAAAAAAAAATAATGTATTAAACATTACAATATAGAGATATATGTATTAATTAATTGAAAACTTATATTTGAGTGAAAATTTATTTAAAAAAAACATTATTATGAAAATAAACTGACAATAAGTGAATCCTATATTAGACAACATTTACTAATTGGTACTAAAATTAAACATTTGTTTATTAATAATATTCAATATCCATATTCACATCCGAAACTACTATTTAGTTATGGGTTAACATTATTACTGATAATTTTTTGTGTTTAGTTTTAAATTAAACTTTTAAATTATTTATTTTTAAAATTATTATTATAATTATCTACTTAATAATTATTATTTTATATTTAAAAAAAACAAATTTTTACAAATAAAAAACTTTATATTAATACTATTTTTTTGTATAATCGTATACTTATTCTACTACTGGTAATATAATACTGTATATAAATTAATAACTACTACTCTACTAAATAATTGGATGCAATTAATTAATTAATTATTTTTTTGTTTTTAATAACTAATTTACAATTAAAATAATATGTTTATTATTAAAATTATAAATAATTTATATTTTAATTCAATAATAATTATATATTTTTAATTATTTGATTATTAAAAGGTTTGTTTTTTTAATGAAAAAAAATTGGTTTTGATTAATATATATATATATATATATATATCTATGTATTATTCTATGACTGAATAACTGACTGTTTTGGTGAGCTTTTAAGGTATACTAAAAACAAATCAGTAATTATTTTATATATTTAGTTAGTTATAATCATTATTATTGTTAATGATTTGGCAAAAAAAATGAAAATTTCTGTTTATTTTTTTAAAAAATTTCAAATCATGAATCATTTACTAATACAACTGTATTACAGTATATATATACCAGGGTTAAGCAAGGTTTTGGATTTTAGGGGGGGGTAGACCGGGGTAAAATTTACAAAATTCTCAAAAAATCTTGGGGGGGGTATTGGGTGGGGTAAGATTTTTATTGCATTTTTAAACGGCAATTTTTTCAAAAATCCAAAATCAAGGGGGGGGTCTAGAGAAAATTCCCTAAAAATTCCTTAAGTTCCCGAATATTCCCATGTAAATTCAATAAAATTCCCACAAGTTCCCGTATAAATTCCCGGGAAAATAGGTAAAATTTCCAAAAATATAAAAAAAAACTTAAAAAACTTAAAAATTAACAAAAATTTAAATTTTAACAAAAAATAAATATTTTTTAAAAAAATTTTTTTAAATTAATAAAAACTTAAATTTTAACAAAAAAAAAATAAAATAATGTATTTAAGATTTAAAAATAGTTGATAAAAGCATTAATGATACACTATGAGTTATTTTTAGTATTTTAATAATTTTTAACTTTTAACATAATTAATTTTTTAAACAATACTTAATGTTTATAGTTTGTTATATATTTTTATTTTTATACAAATACTGACTGAATACTACTTATTTAACTCAAATTTCGTTAAAGTTTAATTATATTAAGTACAAAATTGAAAATATTTTTAAATTTTTTATTTAAAATTTAAAAATTATTAATAAAAACATAAGTATTTATTGTTTTATTAACTTCTTAAACTTATATTTAAATTGTAATATGATTACTCTTTTCAACAAATAGGTAATTTTTAATTTTTTAGTTTATTTTAATTAAAATAATGTTATTTTTTGATGACTTTTAACGTTATTTTAACTATTTTTAATCAATAATTAGATTTTTATAAATATTATAAACATAAAAACACTTACTAAAATAGTATCAACTAAAATTAAAATTTTTATAAATTTCAAAAAAATTTTCGGCGCCTTCGGCGCCRAAATTTTAGGGGGGKTCATTTCTCCTCGTTTTTAAGCGACAATTTTTTCAATTTGGTCAAAAAGTCTGGGGGGGTAAAATCCCAATTTCTCGATCTTAGGGGGGGGTATTTTGGCCTTACCCCCCCCCTACCCCCCCCCTTACTTAACCCTGATATATACAGTATATTGTATACAATAATCTTATCATTGTATCACTGTATATATTATATATATATATATATCTAAAATAAGTTTAGTATTAAATTAAATTAAAAGTTATATATATATATATAATTTAATTTTTTAATTTTTATAATTTTAAATTAATTATGGATTTAATAATACGATCTCAATACTATAATGATGTTGAGTATTATAAACATAATTCAATAATTGAATTATGTATTGAAAAACTAAACTTAAATTCAAATAAACTATATATGGTTTGTCAGTTATTTATTAAAAATTAGTTTTATTAATTTATTATTATTATTACTTTATATTCAATATAATTATTACTTATTATTTATTATTTTTTAATTAATAAATACAAGTCTGATATCGAAACGGGTCGTCAATGGACTAGAGGTCAGGTACTTGAATCGGCCCTTAATTTTGGTCAATACCTGATCAGCGATTGTCGACTAAAAACAGGAGATATTGTTTGTTTTATTACACATAACAATGACATTCATATGATTGCATTGTTGGGTGTATTGGCCGCCGGAGGTGTCTATACATCATTGAATATTACGTCCACTGAAAGTATATTTTAATTTATTTATTTTACACACAGATAAAAATAATTATATAATATTTTTTTTAATTAATTTTATTTTTTTTGAAAAATTATAATAAATAGATGAAATAGTCGATACAATTACAGAAATTAAATCAATAACTATTATAATTGGTTACGAAAAAAATATTAAATTTCTAAGACAACTAAATAGAAAATTTAATAACATTAAGGTAACAAAAATAAAAAAAAATTTTATCTAAATTGATTATAAATTAAATTATAAAATATTCATATAAATTACTAAAAATATGTTTTTTGAAACATAATTATTTGAAAAAAATAAATTAAAATAGATTTTTAAAATTTTTAAAAAATATTTCTAAATCTAACTTATCTAAATTAACACTTATATTATTATTATTATTATTATTTTTTATTTAGATAAAATTATTATAAAAATTGAATTAGTATTAATTCAAATAAGCTCTAAATACTATATATATATATATATAAATACATTATAAATTAAATTAATTTGTTAAAAATTACAGGTAATATATAAAATTTATTTTATTAGAAATAATTTTTTTAAGAAAAAAATATAGATATGTTTATATAATTTAATTAATTTTAAACAAAAAAATTTTTAGTCAATTTTATTGCTCAACGACAATGATGTTGTAGTTGGAGAAGAACATGATATCCCTGACCAGCAGCCAGTTATCCATGAGGACAGTCGGTCAGTGGAAACTATACTGAAAATAACAACAACAGCTGAAGACAACAACATTACTAATCAACAACAACGACGACGACAACTATCGATTGTCGGACAACCAGACGATTTGGTAACACTAGAGATGTCCAGCGGTTCGACTACTGGCCATCAAAAAGCTATTATTTGGACAAACCGTCAGTGGTTGGCACTGATGGCCATTGAACAGCATCGGGAAGTACTGCCGCTGACCGCTGCGGACATAATGCTATCGCGAACATCGTTTCACTTAATGGGTGTACGCTATCTATTCTATACGATAGTAGCCTCGGGTAGCGCACAGTTAGTCATAACTACTAATAGACTACCCAATGATAAAATATTTCAAGCAATACATGACTATAGTGTGACCATGTATTTTGCTGTACCGACCGAACTATGGTTTCTGGCCAAACATTACCGTAAATATGATAAACAATATTTGAAATCATTGCGTGACCTACGAGTTGGCGGCGATTCACTAACTAATGAAGTTTATAACAAAATCAATCGATTGTATGGATTCAATAAATTTAGAAGAAGTATAAAAATTATTAACTATTATTAACTAACTATTAACTAACTATAATATTTAGCTTATGGTATGTCTGAGTGTGGTTTAGTATTTATAGTGCCGTCCAGTGAACAGAATATTGCTAACCATACGGACAGTATTGGCAAAGTCGGTCCCGGACTGGAAGTCAAGATTATTGACACAATTAGTGGCAATAGTTTACCGGCCAATCAAACGGGACAGATATGTATACGCGGACCAACTGTTAGTATAAAACTTAGTTATATTAGATATAATAGACTATATATATTAGCCGAAAATTGGTAGGGGCCCCTAATTTTTTGTATTTAGGCCAGGGGGGGGGGGGTAAAGCATACAAATCTCGATCTAGACCATCTTACCCCCTACCCCCCCCCTTCGTACCATGATATATATAAATATATTATTTATTTATTTTTATAGCTAACACCTGGATATTATGGTAATCCCAGTGCTACCAAACAATTGTTTACCACCGATGGCTTCCTATTAAGTGCTGATCTCGGATACTATGATGAGAACGAGTACTTCTATTTTGTCGACCGATTGAAAGATGTTATTAAATTTGATGGTTTGATTAATACAACAAAAATAAAATAATAATTTTTTTTTAACTAAATAATAATAATTTAAAAAAAATATTATTATTATTTAGTTAATTAATTTACCGTAAATTTTAAATTCAAATAAATATTTTTTTTCAGATAAAAATATTTCGCCAAAAGAGCTGGAATTGCAACTAATGACACATCCGTTGGTCGATATGGCGGCTGTTTTGGGTATCGATGACCAACAGTACGGACAGATACCCCGGGCTTTTGTTACACTTATAGCCACCGATACCGCCGACAATACTGATGATACTGATGGGGTGATGAAGCTAAGGGAACAGGATATACAACAGTATGTCAATGAAAGAGTCAATGTATACAAACAGTTAAGGGGTGGTGTTAAAATAATTGATAAAATGCCCATGACCAGTTTGGGCAAAATTAGCAAGGCTAAATTAAGAGAGATATAATATGTCTAAATTAATAGCAACAAACTATTTAAAAAAAACTTATAAATTATAAATTAAGTTTATAAATATATATATTTATTTATATACCTTATATATTTATTTATTTATTTATATACATATATATATATATATATATCAATTGATAAATTAAAATTAGAGAAACATTTAAAACACAAATTATTCATTATAACTGTTTAAATAATTATAATTAATATTATATATTTTGACTTTTGTTTGACTATTTTTTTTTTAAAAAAAATATACTTTAATTTAAATACAATAATCACATGAATATGCTATCAATGAATAACTGAAATCAATTAGTATTGAATATACAGTATATTAATGTAAAGGTTTACTGATACACGCCGAGAAATATTGGCGCTGTAGTCAATTGCTGGACGATCGGAGGATTCAAAAATTATACATTATGCGTGGCTCCTGGGTTGCTATGACGGCAGAGTAAACAGTCTGTGATTGGTCGACAGGTTTGGGCGAGTGTCAGCAATTGAAACTGTTTACCGGAATTAGTTGTATTTTTTCGATATCGAATCGACATCGAATAAAGTCGAATAATGTCGAAAAAATTCAGAAATTTCAATGTCTTACGATTTTACAGAACCATTTTGTCAGCATTGATAATGTCTGACACATTATTAAAGACAGTACTTCAACGTACTTTATGGACGACCGTAAATGCTAATTAATGGAACTTCCGGTTTGACGATAGATTGCATTGAAACGTACTTTATGTGTGATCATAATCGTAATTTATTGATATTACAGACAAAAAAAGAATTTACAAATGCTGATACTTATCATATCAGAAAAAATACATAAATAACGTTTGATTTTATATATAGAAAAAATATACTTAAAATAATGGCGCGTAATACAAAAAAAACATAAATTAGCAAAAAACACGAAATTAAATGATTAAATATTCTATAAATTTATATTTATAATAATTATATACAGTATAATTAATTATTATAAATAAAATATCAATGAAAACAATTACAAAGAATAGTTGATTTTAAACAAGCACAAAAATATCTAATACTAATATAAGTACCGATTTTTTTAACCGCTAATTAATGCGACAAGATTATCGATAAACTGCTTGTCATTGGCGTCGATGTTGTCCATATCTGTTGTCTTCCGATTGTAGATCAGGGCTTCAATGAGGTACCAAAAACAGCGCGCTTCTTCTGTATGCTGACGGCCTGTCAAATGGCGATACATGACACCGAGTGTTAGTGCGTCCAAAAGATTAGAACAACTGGCAATTAGGAGGTCGCGTTTGTAGGCTGCCAACTGCGTACAGTTTCGTGAGATGCGCGACAAATCGTCGCCAATGAATGACTCTTTGGTGGCAGGACTACTGACAATACAGCTGCCGTCTTCGTTAGATCCATCGCCGACAATCGATGATAGGCTGTCTGTTGAAACAATAATCATAACATACGGAAACTGGTAATTACTTGGTAAGATGGCCCGTTCCTGTTTTGTAAGCAGTCGGCCTACAATCACTTTATTACGGCACTTTGACAACAATTCCAGTAGAAGAAAACAAGCCATACACTTTCGGTAGTCATCTAAGTTTTCAATATAGGTTTAAAAAAATATCAGTAGTTTTTTTTGTTATAAATTGAAACAACTACTATATTTACTAAAAACCTTTTTTATCGTTAAATATCTTAATCAACGAATCAATATAGACTTTGTCAATGGCACAGTTGTCTATAACGTCGTTGTCGTTGTCTTCGTCGTCATCGCCGACGCTTTTGTAGCCAAACAATAGTTTTTGWTTATTGAATATCTTATTGAAAATCATAAGCGTCTTGTTGTGCACATTGATAAACAACCGATTAGTATAGATTGAAGACAGAGTTTTTGTTCCGGCACTCAATGCCCGAAAACTGTAAATAAGCTATGATTTCGGTAAACAAACAATATAATTAAATAATTTATTGATGAGTTGTTTAAATGTTTCAGATGCTGCTGGTGTTGTTGTTATAATTATACTAATGAGGTGATAATTCGCTGTATAAAACTTTTGAATTTTATATATTAGACAAGTTTTTAAAACTAATTGATAAAACTAAACTAAACTACATTTTGTTCTAATCTACTCTTAAACGTGTAGTAGTCGCTACTAGATTCGCCGACTGAGTTGGTAATATTTTTTTGCATCAAAATTGGTGTCTGCAACTTCTTCGACGGAGACATCGGCGTATCTGAAACCAAAACTTTTCCGATAGTTTTAGTATCGTCAGTATTTGACTTACTGTTGTCGTCTGAGCTTTCGCTAGAAACTAATTGATAAGATTGTCTTATCGGCGGCGAGTGGACAACAAACAAACGACTTTTGACACCACCACCGCCACCACCAGCACCATCATCGCATGGATTTTCAGTTGAACTGGAAGTAACTATTGGCATTATCTGTTGCTGATAACATTGCAGACGACTTTGTCGATCCTTCAATACATCCGTAAGTAGTATGACAGGATTATGCATTACTGAGGCGTTTGTTTTTTTCTTTTTTTCCGACGGTTGCAACTCTTCATCGTCATCATCACTATTGGCACCCRCGCCCAGTGGTCTCAATGAAAGTCTGGCCAATGACAAACTATYATCTTTTTTCACTGACGTCTGCTGGACTGATCGGTCCAGTGAGTTGGCTTTTTGCGGAGMCCTTCGCTTTGACTTTTGACGTAAATTGTAACACTTTGGCCGAGATTTGAGAATCATTATCTCATCTCTGTCTTGATTACTAGACTATTGGGTCTCATTTAGCAAATCTAATTCAGTTACTTTGATGACAAGAAAAATTTTTTAAAAATCATTAGTTTAGTTTGATTAGAGGTAAGTTATATGTTTAAATAAATATTGCTGACCAGAGTTTTGAAGGCGTTTTTGACGTCTTTTCGACTTAATACTCGTACTGTTCCGAGCATAATACTTTCGATTATAAACAGATTTCAGGGCTTTATTATAAACACAATTCTATCAATTGATATAATTAGAGAAAAACTTATTTGTAAGCAAAACAAAATTTTGTAATCAACTAAACATCAATCAATCAATCAAACTACTGATATCTAAATACTAACAAATGTGTCGCCAATAGTTCCTATGGATTCGGGATACTTTAAACTGAAAATATACGCTAACAAAACACGTATATGCGTTCCGTGACCGCTATGCTTGTTATCCTCCGAGGCTTTGTTTCGAAATGACCTTTAGTTAAAAAGTAAAAAAAAATTATACTAATTTCATTAAAATTAGATTAAAAAACATAAGCACTGAATAAAACAGTGCTAATTTTTCATTACGAATCATTATTTGAATTAATTTGTTTTTTTTATAACAAACTTTTCGTATTGGTCGCAATGTCTTAAGAAAACATTTCTTAGAATTTGTCTATCAGAAGATTTCATTAACTGTTTGCCAGTGTTTAGTTTGTCCAACACTTTTACTTCGTATTCATCTGACGCGTCAAACTGTGGTAATAATGGTAATGATTGGTAGCAATGTGTGCTGGTTTTGATAGTGCCGACATCGTCATTACCAATATCAGGGGAATCTGTAAACGACAAAAATACAAAATAATCATCAGTTCTTCATTGTTTGGCTTAAGATCACAAGTAGCGGCGTCTAAACTGTTTGACTTGACTTCCAAAGTTGACTTGTATTTGGAGACATCTAAGCGCGGCATTACTGACATCAATGTGTAGCCATCAATACAAGTGTCCCATGATTTTGAAGCTGATCTGCTAAGTGTTTTAGTTAAGGGTTCAGAAACATTGGTGACGATGACATTTGATAATGTCTGGTTAGGCTTAACATTTTCGACAACAACATCTACTTCTTGTAGTTTCGGAATCAATGGCTGAGGCGATTGTTGCGGCGATTGTTGCGGCGATTGTTGCGGCGATGGTGATGCCGACGATAAGTATTTCATATGATATTTGGCTACTTTCCTTTTATTTTTTGAACAATTGGTGGCCGGATCGTTGCCGTCGGTGTCTTGCGCCGGAATCAACTCCTCTTCGTGTTCATTAGTATCCATAATATCATTGATATTACTTTTTTCCGTAACAAATATAATCAACGTTTAAAACAATGGGTTTTGCAATGAATTGCAAAATTTTCAACTAATGAAATAACTCATTACTCATAATTTGACTGCAAATTACAAAAAACTAACTGTTGTTATGCCATTGAGTGGTATAAACTTTAATCAATTAACTAAACTATGACAACAATAATTGAATAGAAAAACCATTGCTTATTAAAATTAATAACAAAATAATACACTAAAAAAGTTTTTTACTTTTATTTTTTTCAATAAAAATCCAACCACTAAACAGGTTGTAAAAAAATTGGGGTACTTTTAAATTTCTTAAACAAACATTTGTTTTTAAATTAAATTATTTGATAGAAATAAGTACTAATTTATATGTAATTTATATGTACAATACATTGTAACTGTATTTTATAAACTTTGACTAACATTTACATAAGTTGAAAAAACTGTTGTTTTAGTTGTAGTTTTTTTTAAGTTATTCACTAAATTATTATTGATTAATATCTAAATTTAAATCAATATAAACTATTTTGGTATCAATGGAGTGCTATTGTTTAAAAGTTTTTGCCACCGAAACCGAGTTTAAAGACCATTCATATAGAGTACATTGGTCTAAGGGCCAGTACTTTAGATGCCATTATGATGGATGTGATAAAAAAGTCGAACCGAAAACATTTAAAGACACTTCAAACGTCACTGATGATATTGAAATAAAAATGAAGAAGGAATTTGATTCGCGTTGCGGTAGACATCTACGAGAACATAAATTAAAATCAACACAATATTTTAGAAAGTATGTCAACAAGTCCAAGTCCAGCAGTCGACCGAAAACAACAACAATTGTACGAGTGCTAGATGAAGACCAACCCGTAAACATGACTGATGAGAGCTTATCAAATAATCC